AAATTGACAACAATAATAGAAATAATGTAGCAGTTCATGCCAATATACTGCTAATTATAACTGCTACATACCTGAAAACTGAATTATTTATTATTTTATTTATTAAATTTGTATGCCATTCATCTCTCTACCAAGCAACTAATTAGAAAAAAATATTCATATGAACATTAAAATACTTTTAAAAACATTGACGAAAATGACAGATATCAGTAGATATTAGTTGTGCATACATCAAGAATGTATTAATAAAGCTCCCCAATATGCTTGTATTTTTTCCAGTCACCTAAAAGTTAAGGTATATACCAACTAGTCTCTATTTAGAAAATGTTAATTCATATGTCCTTATATCACATATCATTGGATTTTAACAGAAAATAGGTAATTTTATAGAACTAATTATGTTGTCAAAAACAACCAATAGCAGGTTATTTTAATTCACAAGGTGGAATTTTCCAAAGTGGCTGTGAAGAAATGTTTTTTTAACACACTTTAATGTATGTACTGTGATCCTGCTTCCCATATAATACATACAGGAAAAGTTGTGCACAAAATATACAACATAATGTACTTTAAAATTCTATGTTGTCTATATACAGAACAAGCAATATCTAGAAGAATCTACTGAAGCTTCTAGAGTAGTTGGCGGCCCGGAGGGAAAGGGAGGGGCAGGCACAGGGCCACATGCACATGCGTGACACAAACGGGATGGTACGAGCGTGAACACGACACAAATGGGGGCAGTGCTAGCACCTGCGCGACACTCAGGGCAGCGCTAGCGCAAGTGGGGGACGTGCGCACACACATGCATGTGCACTAGCCAGCCATTCACGCAGCCCAGTGGCCAAGAGGCCACGGCCTGGTAATGGGCCGTGGCCCACAGATTGGGGACCCCTGTTCTAAAGTATCTAGTTAAATCCATGTGTTCTTACGTGTAAATGAAGATATTTGATTGTTTAGTCTACTTGCTAAAACATATTGCACAACATGAATCGCTTCCAAGAAATTGTAATTAAAGTTCTACACAGAATATTTTAGCTTGTAAATATTTCAATCAATATTTTGAAGTATATTAATATATTTATATACTTCAAATGTAAGTTATTATAAATATAATGAAAAAGTACATATAAACAAATATGCTTAATATGTGTAACTGCCAAGCAAGTTCATCATCCTTTATGTATCCAAAATTTACAGACTTATCCAACACATCCATCATTCATACTACAAGATGCTCTATAAGCAGTCTTCAGTTTTCATCCATTCACTTAGCAACTATTCAAAGTTACAGTAGTGCAGAAAAAATGGACATACAACTGATCCTTGAAGTTCTGACAATCACAATACCCACACAATCATGTGATCACAATCTGGGCACTCAGCTCATGATTTTGACATTGCAAGGAGCTGCAATACATGTTTGCCATTTGCAACCTTCCCCGCGGGCTTCCCACAAAGTAATTGGAAAACCTGGCAGGGAAAGTCATCAATTATTACAGTAAATTTCTCTCACCCATAGCACACATACCTGCCCATGCACAGCCTCTGCAGTTCTTCCCTAGCCCTCTCCCATTCTCCCTCTACTTGTCTGTGGCTTGTGCTGGCCTCCCTAGTGGCACCTTTGTGTTCATTACCTGGGACATCCATTGTAACCTGAAAATTATCTGAAATCAAAATCTCTCTTCTGTTTTCTATATATCTTTGTGTTCAAGATCAAAGTCCACATTTTAGTTTATCAATGCACCTATGCTTGCCTTTTCAAACCTTTACTTTCTATTGTATACATTCCCATTCACGTCATTCAGTTCTCCAATTCTATCTCCCTCAACTATATTAAAGCCTCTGATCTCATTATATAAAAAGGCTACTCCTCCCCATTAGAGGCTATATTCAAAAGGGTATCTTATACTCTTTCCATATTTCAGCGGTTTTGTTCCAAATTGTCCTGCACACTTATCTCAAACCCGTAATAACTCCAATTTTTCAGACCTCAAAGGCCACATCTAGGACTGCATCAGGGCACAGGCACATATCTGTCCATGCACACATAACCTTCTGTCCCTCTTTGCTCAGAGATTTTGTTCTAAATCTGTTACAATTTTCAACAATGAAATAATGCTCCATAACAACCCACTAAACAACAAGTTTGATAATCTGAACAAGTGGAGCCCAGGGTCCAATATTCCATATTTAGTCAAACCATAAACAAATGCAGTGGTGTTGTGGCTCCAGAAACATTAGTAGGAAATAGATTATCAAAACCCTTTTTAATTTGGGATTAGGTTTGTATTTGGCACAGAAAAGCCAAGGTTACCCATTAGATAGTTGTCTAGAGCAAACTATGACTCTACTGATACCATTAGGTATATCAGTGGCCTTTGTTGCCATTGACAGTGGTATCTTTTTGGAGTAGCTGAGTAAACTGGGAGTAGTATTTTTGTTTCTACCCTTATTTATTTGGGTGCTAACAGGGATAATACCTAACATCTGCCTGGCCTCCTGAATGTTGAGCTGCATTTTGCAAAGTTCTGTCCTGTTTCTTAAGTTATTTAATAGCTCTATATTCTTCTTTAAGGAACAGATTCATAGTCTGGGGGTCCTCCTTCTTCCAGTGCTGATACTGAATAAAAGTTCCCCTTACTGTCTCTAGCTTTAACTGATTAACCACCTATTCCTCCATACTTGCTTTCCAAGCCCAATTTAAAGGGCTCAGGGTGTATTACAGGGCTCATATTTCGAATAAATTGTTACTGAATGTGAAATTGGCCCTATCTAGGACAGGAGTGCATTTAACGCCTCCTTTTACATAAACCTTTCTCCAAGTTTGAAGAATTAGACAATTTTAGAACTACTTCAAAATTTTAAAACAGATATTATCTATGCTTGCAAGATCTATTGGACTAGGCCAGTGGTTCTCAACCTGTGCGTCGGGACCCCATTTGGGGTCGATCGACCATTTCACGGGGGTTGCCAAGCAAGGCTGTCCACCATTTTTTTTCCCTTTTCCGGCGGGTGCCTTACCTCCCTTGAGCTGGGCCAGCTGGTGGTCGGCCTGCTCCGTCTCTGCCGCTTGCCAGCTACGCCTCGGCCGGCGCAGGGGGCGGAACCACGCATGCGCGGCGCTCTCGGGCAGGGAAAGTCCTCGACTTACGACCGGTTGGGTAGTCCTCGACGTACGACCGGTTTAGTCCTCGACTTACGACCGGTTGGGGGTCGCGGCATTAAAAAGGTTGAGAACCACTGGACTAGGCATAATATGGCATTCTAAATACCAATTCAAATGAATGGGAGAAGAGAACTAATGAACAAACAGGACAACAAAAATTGTTTTACCTAATTCAGACTGGAAAAACCAGTTAGCAGTAAGCAAGAGAAAGTCAATATGTTCAAATTATTCATGATCCGTAGATATTAAGACATAATGTAGCTAGCTATCTTCTAATTGCTATGTCAATATTTTCATTATAATGAGGAAACAAAGCTCTGATATATCAGATATGCTGAAAAATATACAAAAGAAGAATTGTGAAGTCATATATTCAAAGAAACCATGCCTTCTATCTTTCAAACTCAAGTTAAATCATATGTCAGAATAAATAACTAGGCAAAAAATGGCTTTTGGAGGATGGGCAGAAGCTACTGAACATTATGAGTTATCCAAGGGCAAAAAAAAAATTGGAGAAATAAGATGAACTTTGATTATGCCTATTTTCTCAACAGATTTCCTTACACTAAAGATTCAGATAAATATTATTTTGCCCAAGATTGTTGCAAGTTCCTGGACAGCTGCTCTTATCAGATGCTAGCATGAATATTATAAAAAAACTCAAGACTGTTTTCATCAACAGCATCCTTCTAAAATTCTCATCAAGTAGCTGTGAAATAATTAGACAGTTGTGAAATAAAGTATTGGGTGATTTCAGATGTTACATTCCAGAAAAAAGGACAGCAGTATTGTTTTACATTATTGGAATACTAAAGAGCAAGAATTGTGAATACCATTTTTTCCCAAGTTTTCTGCTTTTCCATTTAAAGAGACTCATGTTATTGTCACATGTTTACAACTTTTGGCAGCATTTTAAATTAATGCCAGAATACATGTAAGTTTTTTAAAAAGACAGTTGTATTAGCTAACAAAAATGTTATTTTCTCATTTTTCAAGCCACTGCATACAGTAGTATTATAGAAGAAAAAAACTATGTTGAACACTATATACCTGAACTTTTTTGTTACAATATTGGTTATAACATGTCTATCGTCTTGTTGTATTTAACAGAGACCAATATCTTTAAAGCAATTTAAAAATTCAGTGACTTTTTAAAAAAGTATTAATACAGAACACAGTATACAGACTTTGATCATATGTTTAGGATATTTTTCTTTTAGGCCTTTCCTAACACTTTATCTTCAGACACATCATATACAAAACTAAGGTCATGGGTTATTCAACAGTTAGCTATTCTAATCCATAATAAATTTTAATTTCATTAGAAGTTATATGCACTTAAAAAAGACCTATAGACTACCATGATTTTTTTTTAGTTTACCCAAACTCCACAGATCTACAGTCACTGTTGCAAGCCTGTAAAACCTGCAAGCAGATCAAGAATAAGGCTGTTCCGGATTCAAGCAGTTTAAGTAACTTCATATAAACAGAATAAAAACCAAGGCTATCTTCTTTCATGGAAAACAACGGCACCATCTTTACAGGGATGCTAAGTCCAGTTCGATCCATTTAGGTGGATTCGACTGCAATTCTCAAGCCACATTGACCCAACCACAGAAATGAAGGAAGCACTCTGTGGTTTTAGCGCCTCAAACAGTTTCATTCCAGCGGCCTCTCGCTTCCCGCGAAGCAATTTGTAGGCAGCCACCCTCATGCACCATCGAGGCAGCCCAGACTCCTCAGGTGCAGCCGAAGGGAGAGGCGTGGCTCTCCTCCCGGGCTGGGCCGCCCCTTCCTCCCCAGCGCCGGCCCTCTTGACCCAGCGCCGACTCACCTCGGTGGCCGGGATGTTCACGACACCTGTCGAGCGTCTTTTCTCCCTCAGCTTCCTTTTCTCGATCTGCCCTTTTCCCTTCCGGGCGCTGGGGCCGGAGGAGCCTTTGCCCTTGGGAGCCACTTTCTCCTCCTCGGGAGAAGCTGGCGCCGCGCTGGTTCTGCTCCCCGGGGGCTCCGCGCCTCCTGCTCTGGTTCCGGCTGTCGGCTGGGGTTCCTTCGGAGTGTTTCTGGCCAGAGGAACGCAATTCATGCCGCCGCTGCCATTGTTGTTAAGTTCGGCGGCGGTGGCGGTGCTGCCGCCACTGCCGCTGGTGGCAATATTGGTGGCTACTTTGCCGTCAGTCACCCCGGCCGGCGGTGCTTGTTTGGCCCGCATCTTCTCCCGCTTAGCCTTCCATTCCTCCAAGAAATCGGTCGTGGCGGCGCCGCTGCCCCGATAGCCCCCGGTGGCCATGTTTCAGGGAAGCTGCCGATTCCTTTGCGCCCTCCCAACGAGCCCCGACGTGGCTGCTGACCTTCCGAGGTTTACTAACCGAGCGGACTGGCAAAAGTTGCTGGCCGACCAAGAAGAGGCACCGAGCGGGGTGGGGAGGACTCCACGCAACCCTCTACAAGAAACAAAAGGGAGCGAGTGAGGCGACCGCGCTGTCTCCAGGGAGGTGCTCCTCCAGATCCCCAGGGCAGCCCCCCGATTGGGTCTCCCACAGCCCCTCGGGCTCCGCTCCGCTTCTCCTTTGGCCCGCCCCCATCTCCGTTTACCAGCAAATCTGGACTCTCTCGGCTACTCAAATCCCAGCTAACTTTATGCGCTGGAATGGCTGTAGTTTTCACACACTCTCTACGCGCGAATCTTGCCAATTCTTTTCTTTCTCACGCGCGAAAAGCTCCTATGCAAGCTGCTCTTGCCGGACCTCTCCGCTTTCCTCCCAAACCAATGTGGACGGAGGATGGGAAGCCTCGGAGACAGGCAGATACCCTGTCTTAATCTAATTTTGCTGGACACGCGTGTTTCTCGCCTTTCCACGGGCTACATAGCTCCCCCACCGAGCAGTTTCCTTTCTCCAACTCCCGGCGTCGACGAAGTTTTGCATTCGTAGCACCCTAACCAGCGCCGTTAAGCGCCGGAGCAGGCTCGAGCTTACCCTCTGATGCTGCCTAGTAAGAAGACTGCGGAGGCTGCGGCTTCCCCAGGTGAGTTGCCTGGTTGCGGCGCGGAACTCCCGAAGCGGGTCCCGGAAGACTTAGCAGCGCTCCCGAAACTTTCCGACTGTCTCCCATAGGGCGGAGGGTAATCAGACGAAAGGAGCCGAGGCGGGAGCGGAAACTGCCGAGGTGGCCCTGACAATGGATAAAGGGGCGTGGAGAAGCCTCCCTAACCCTGAGTGCCTGGAGAAGTAACTCCCTCCGAGCCGACTTGTAAGCTGAGCGCAGCAGCGCCTGTTTGTTTTCACGACGCCCGGGATGCCTCCCATGACCGCCCGGGTGACAGACAGTTAATACCTGCGTTCTTCTAGGATAGCATAATTTCTTCCGCCTGAAGTAAGACCAGTCCAGAGGAAATAGATATCAGGCGTACAAATATTAGCATTGCATTATTAACACGAGTACTGTACAAAGTCTGTTCTATGAAACTGAGATCTACTTCTCCCTCCATTTGCAACTTTAACATTTCAGTGTTAACTTTTGGGGCAGGATTCTATGTGAGCTAAAGTTATTGAAATTACACTTTCAATACAGCAGTTCACAGTTGGGGAATCCAAGCTCGTTTTACATCACTTTCCTAATTATGTTTAAATAATGAAACTTTAATAACAGCAAAATCTACCTGCATAACTAATTGTCACAGATAATTTATGAATATTTATTTTATTGGAGATTGATGAATAAAGGGCATATTTACAATATTATACTTTTGAAACAATATATTCTTCTGTATAGGCACATGTCATTAGATTTAGAAATGTTATAGTGAAATTAAAATGGATAATTGAGTACTTGCTAGGGGGAAAAATCCAGCCAGATTTCAGCTTTAAGGACCTGTTTAGTGCTGATGATTGTCTTATGAATAACAAGCAAATAAGTATCTGATCGATTAAAATTGAAATTTTATTTGTAGGAGTCTTCTCTTCTGATTAATGATAATGTATCATTTGTTTCACAGGTGTGCTGTAACTTTCTCCTATCTCAAATATTACGTGGGAATTGATGCTGAAATGATTTTATAGACATTTATTAGAGTAAGATTGAAAATCTTATGGTCATTGCATATCCCTCCTTGCTTGATTCTGTGCTGACTCAAGAATCTTTTTTTCAGCGAGTTTTGATTAGGAAACACCACAATGTTCTTTCCTCCTATTTTTCCCACATTAGCCTTCTTGTAAGGTGGGTCGGGATGAGTGAAAGTACCTTAGTTATGACTATTCAAAGTTCAGCAACTGTTCAAAGTTACAGTGATGTGAATGAGCGGGGACTTATGATTCCATTGCAACACTCCATGGTTACGTGATTGCAATCTAGGTGCTCAGCACTTCAAGTGCTTTTTTGCAATTATGATGTTGCAGCAAGTCATGTCACATGATCCCAATTTCCAATGTTCCCTGCTGACTTCTCAAAAAGGAAAGTCAATGAGGAAGCCAGCAGATGGTCATAACTTGCTTCTGGTTTTTTTGCATCTGTGTTTCATAGCGCCTGTCCATTGCACCTCCACCTGCCATTGGCACCCATACTCCTAGTGCCTGCCTGTGGTACACTCCATAGCACCTGTCCACTGTGCTCACTCTCTCATAGTGCTCATCTGAAGCCCTCACCTACCAACCTGCTTGCTTGGGACTCCTGCATCTTCGTGCATAGATCTGGGAGTTATGATGGCAACTCGGGCTCTTTATGACTGCATCACTTAGTGACAGAAATTCTGGTTTCAATTGCTGTCATAACCCAAAGACTACCAGTTTTTATCCCTAAGGGAAAATGAGAATTTATGTTTTCCTAGTTTCTGATCCAGCATCCTAACTAGTGCACCAAAGGCAAGCAATTTATTTGGCCAATCTCAGTCCTAGAGGAGATCAACCCTGACTGCTCTTTAGAAGGCCAGATCCTGAAGTTGAAACTCAAGTATTTTGGCCACCTAATGAGAAGGAAGGACTCACTGGAGAAGAGCCTAATGCTGGGAAAGATTGAGGACAATAGAAGAATGGGACGACAGAGAATGAGGTGGCTGGATGGAGTCACTGAAGCAGTAGGCGTGAGCTTAAATGGACTTCAGAAGATGGTAGAGGACAGGAAGGCCTGGAGGAACATTGTCCATGGGGTCGCGATGGGTCAGACACGACTTTGCAACTAACAACAACAACAAGTACAAATAGCATAAGAAAAGTATTTCATTCCTGTTTTCCTTTCCTATTCATAAAATGAGTATTGTGTTATTGCAGTATAGTCTTACATATAACTTCAGAAATCTGTTCTTTGAGTTCACATATTACAGAAGTTAAAGTCCAACAATACAGTACATAGTACAGCCATGGCTTGATAGATATTAATAAAGCAAGAAGTCAATAAGAAAATACCTAGCAGTTTCCAAAAAGAGGGATTGATTATTAAGCATAATAATAGTGAATATAAATACAGTCTAATGAAAATGCAGTATTAAGCACTTCATTTCCTACTTATGACTTGAAGAATAAACCACTAACTCTCTTCCTTTGATGATCATCAGACTTAAAATTACTTCTTAAGCATCAATAGTGTTGAGGTGGCAATAATACATATTCATAGTTTTTTATGATATATTTTTAAAGTATGTTCTAAGATATTTTCATATTCAATATTTTCTTGATAGTATTTTCATAGAGAACAGGGATGCAAAATGTGCGGCTACTTTTTGCAGTTTGGGAAGATTTAAGGGGCAAAATTGAGTCTTCAGCATCCTGGATATTGGAGCAGATGAAGCCCAGATACATGTTCTTCCTTGCCCCTTAAAATTAGGCTACAGTCTAATTACACAGTCCAATTAGCCTCACATGTATCCTCCCCTTTCAGAAGCAGCTAAAAACAACTTTTCCAGAGAATATTTGGAGGCTGCTTACCAGATGCTAATAAGCTTTTGTATTTTTTAATTTTATCATTATGTGCTGTTTTGTAACAAAATGTCAGCTGCCAAGGATCTGCTTATGATTGTGGCACGATGTAAATAAACTCTTCAAAGATATCAGCAGTAATTTGAATATAAAATTAAAATTATAATCTCATGTACATCCTTTTTTTTTAAACCAGTAAACAGGAATTGGATCAGATTTCATGATTCTTTCTTATATCTGAGCTCCATCATTATATCTGCATCCATCATTGTAGATCTTTCCCAACAGTAAAAAACGGCATATTTTAAATTCCAAAAACAGTCACTGACCCCATGGTCTGTTATTGATTAACTCAAGTTCTGTTGTGGTGAGATTGGTGAAGTGCCCATTGCTAAAATGCTGACTTAAGATGTTTGCATTTCAATAGTGGTATCTCTTAATGGGAGCTTTTGGGGATAACTTTTAAATAAATGTAAATATAGGTTTTCATGCTCTTTTCACCCACTTCTTGGAATAGTGGAATATATTTCCACTAGCTCTTATTATATGTTTCCAATTATAATAAGAAAACATTTGCCCATCTCAGGGGGAAACTCATTCCAGAAGAAAGACGCCACTACAGAGAAGGTGCACTTCCTGGGTCTTGAAAGATGTCACCGTTTAATCAAGGAGACTTAGTCTGCCAGATCATACCAAATAGGCAGAAACCACAGAAGACAATAATAAATAAATGGACCCTGCAAGCACCTTGAATCTTACCCAAATGCACAGTAGCAACCATAGGTGTATTCTGGCAAGTCCATAACTCCACATACTGCCGCATTCTGGATTAGCTGAATTTTCCAAGTGGTCTTCAAAGACAGCAATGTGCAGAGTGGATTGAACCATGAGGTGACAAGCGTGTGAGTGACTGTCTACATTGCTAGAGAATGTACAAATTGCACATCACTCCTAACTGGGGAAGTGCAATCCTATCCAGAAGTAATGTCGGAAAATCCCTGGGTCTGTGAGGTCCCAATAGTCTTGGTAGAATTCAAATGGAAGCAGCTTTTCCCCATCTAGGCCTGAGTAGCTCCTAGGCATTGCGACATATCGTCAAAAGCCTTATTTGGTCAGCCTGGGATTGAGATACAATTCGGTATTACTGATGGAGAGTGGCAAACAGAGTCTGCTTTGAGCTGCATGATTTGAGAGGACAGCTTTGATTGACCTCCAAATGGCAGCATTATATACATGGCTATTTATGGTACGATAAAGTTAAAGTAAATGTTGATTTTAATAATCATTTTATTAGACCTGCCATATTAAGAGTTTGGAATAAATATAAAACAAGGTTGTTGTTGTTGTTGTTGTTTTTACAAAATTGCCCCTATGGGTGTCTCCCCCAAGAAGCTTTTTTTAGAAACGAAATGGTGGTGAAGCCGGACTGGTGGACATATGGTAAAATGGTATCTTTCAATTCTGG